TGCTTGGCCTTGCCCCTATCCTGACCGCCGCGGAAGACTGCCCCAACCGCCTCCTCACCGGAGGCATGATTCGTGGTGATGTCGAGTAGGTTACGGGTGGTATAGAGCTTCACACAGCCGAGCTTATGGATCAGGGACTTGTAGGTTGTCCTAGAGAGGAATGCGCTGACGACGTCCATGTCGACGACATCAGGAAGGGAGTTGCATTGCTTTGAGAACCTATGGATGTAATTCCATAGGGACTCGTTGGGCTCCTGCTAGCAGCTCTTAAGGTCCCAAGAATTCCCAGGATAGACATACGTCCCCTGGAAATTTCTGACGAAGACCCTCTTGAGATCCGCCCAGTCATAGATGTTGTCGGGCGGAAGGAATACGAGCCATGCTCAAACATGCTCCCCCACACAAATGGGGAGGTACTAGATGATGAAGTAGTCACCATCCACTCCTTCGTCTCGACAAGCGAGCCGAAAGTCTTTGAGCATATACTGGGGTTCGTCTCCCTGGTGTACCTGGCGATGTTGGTGGGCGATCGGAAGCACTGTGGGAATGGCGCTTTATGGATGCGGCGACCAAAGCACCATGGCCCTGAGCCGTCTGGGCTAGGGCTCCGATCATTTGGTCGGCCGCCACGCCTAGGGTGCATGTCCTCACACTCCTCAATGGTCAGGCTAGGGCCCGCGCCACCGCTCTCGCCGCCATTCGATGGACATCATTATCGTGCCGAGCGTGGTGTCGATGGTTGATGACACTGCGAGCGTCATAGTTCGGCCCGAGCCATTCGCGCATAGGTGGTTTGTGTAGAGCGGGTGCCAGGTCATGCTGTGGTGCAGCCACGGCTTCCTACTCCATGCTCAGCAACTGCTGTGGTGAGTGGACGAAGCGATTCGATTGGTGTGGCCCCAATCTCCTGGTTGGTCAAGAGGTCATGAGCCGGTGTTGCGACACGGAGCTCTTCGTCCATTGAACGGCGACGGTCTCCACCAGCGCCCGGAGGTTCTCATGGATTGCCTGCTCCTGGGGGTCGGTAGGCTCGGGGAGGCCACCCAGAAGCATCACCGCAGCAGCGATGTTCTGGCCAGCCCGAGCAAACTAAGGGGGTCATCCCCTCCATGCAGTATGTTATGCTGGACCTGATGGGCATGACCCTGAGCGCCACTCACCGGGTTGCGGGCATGTGGTGTAGCGTGCTACGCCGAGTGCGCCGGCGTAGGTGGTGGCTGGCTCTACCGCCTTTGTCGTAACTCCTCGCCGTGCTCCTGCGCACACCCTAGGGCCTACGCATGGGGGTCTGGAGGGGTGTGATTCTGCAGATTCTCCACCACCTCCGGTAGCCATCTCGGGGCGTCCGCCATAACTCACTCCTAGGACAGAGGGTGGCTAGGTGCCATGACGTCGCTGATGCTGGAGCCGTCGCTTTTGACCTCGTCATCGATGAGGTCGTGGAAGGAGGTGGTGAAAGGTCCTAATGGCTAGAGGGGGAGGGTGAATAGCCTAATAAAAATTTCAACAACAACACTTAACTAAATGGTTAGACAATTATGAGGCGAAGCGAGTGTTGCGCTAGCCTACTCAAAAATGCAAGCCACCTACCACAATTCTAGTTTAGATAGTGTCAATTCACACAAGAGCAATGACACTACCCTATGTTAGTGTGCTCTCAAAGGCTAACTAAAGAGCCACACCAACCAAGCATGCAATCTCCTACAGGTACACTCTACCCTTTGCCACACTTACAGCTCGCTTTGCAGTCTTCTTTGCCACCTTGTACTTCTCTATATTGTCCACACTCCTGTCATGGTACAAGTGTCTATAGCATTCTTTCTTCTCCTTAATAACCCTTTGGAGTTCCTCGTTCCACCACCAAGTATCTTTAGCCTCGCCTCCACTTTCTTTGGTTACTCCACACACCTCTGAGGCCACCTTCCAAATATTGGTTACCATCTTCTCCCACATGTTGTTTATGTCCTCTTCTTCCTTCCAAGAGCCCTCTTTGATAACCCTTTCCCTGAATACCTCTAACGTCTCCCCTTTCAGTTTCCACCACTTTGTTCTTTCAATCTTAGCTTGTTTATCCCTATGGGCACGCACCTAAAAACAAAAGTCTGCCATCAAAAGCTTATGTTGAGAAACAACACACTCCCCTGGTATCACCTTGCAACCCAAGCATGCTCGTTTATCCTTTCTTCTTATGAGGACAAAGTCAATCTGGCTAGAGTGTTGTCCGCTACTGAAGGTCACTAGACGAGATTCTCTCTTTCTAAAGAAAGTGTTGGCTATCATCAGGTCAAAAGCTACCGTGAAGTCCAGAACTTCCTCCCCTCCTGATTCCTACTACCATACCCAAAACCTCCATGAACTGCCTCAAAATCTACGCTTGTAGTACCTACATGCCCATTAAAATCTCCTCCTATAAAAAGCTTCTCACTACTAGGTACAGCTCTTATCAGGCCATCTAAGTCTTCCCAGAACTGTCTCTTAGCACTCTCATCGAGGCCTACTTAGGGGGCATACACACTAATTACGTTCAAGACCATATCACCAACGACAAGCTTGACTAAGATAATCCAATCTCCTTGCCTTCTCACTCCCACCACACCATTCTTGAGGCTCTTATCAATCAAAAATCCTACTTCATTTTCTATTCACGACTGTCCCTATGTACCAAAGCTTGAAACCTATATTGTCCACCTCCTTCACCTTCTAACCCTTCCATTTATTCTCTTGAACGCATAATATATTTACACGCCTCCTAGTCGCGGTATCAACTAATTCTCTTAACTTACCTGTAAGCGACCCTACATTCCAACAACCTAAATGGATCCTAGTTGGTTCGACTAGCTTCCTTACCCTTCGCACCCATCGACTCAGATGTGAAGACCCTTGCTCATTTTCACTACACCCGGGCGCCGATGTAGCGCGCCACTAAGAAAGCGATGACCCGATCCTTGCTCACTTGACACCATGCCCAGATCACGACACGGCGTGTCACCAAGGGGTTGCCGACCCGGCCCTTGCCCATTTAACACCATACCCGGGTTCCAATATGGCGCGTCGCTAAGAGGGTTACGCCCCAACGGTTTTCTTTCGGGTTTCATCTCCATTAGAATGGCTAGATTTAACATTGGCTCATCATGCCTATCACAACCCTCCTCCTTTACCAGGGCCTAGGACCTGCTATGTTGAGACAACATGGCTCGAACACGGCCAAAAATAATTAAGGGCTCGAATGCGGTGAAAACCAAAAGCTTAACATGGAAGATCACATAGCATCCACGCCAACCGGACCACGGAAGAAAACCTATCCCCCGTGTTTGCTCCTGATATTCCACTGCCAACACCGGCCTCCTAGTAGAAATTATACTTCTATCTAACAGGGTGTGAGATCAAGTCTACCCATATAGACATGTGGTTGTATGTAACATCTCACTAGGTGAGAGGGACTACGAACCGGTTCTTATGTGATCGATGCGAGTATCTCCTACAGGAACCCTCACCAGGCGTTCCTGCCAATGTAATCTATCCCACATAAATTATCCCCACTTGCCCCATGTCGGGGTTTAGTCAAATTTTACCATTCAAGTTCCATAGTTACTATTCTCAAGTTCATAATGCTCATATCATATCAAGGTAACCATCACCTTATCATATTATCATAATCAAGTTCATAATTATAGTTTCTTTAGTTCATAAGGGGTTTCAAGTAGTGTGAGTTGGGTTATTATTTAGTGGAGGTGAATAGTGGAAGGTTTATGGTGGAGGCTAGCAATATGTGGAGAAGGGAGGTGGTTAAGGGATGGTATGTAGTGTAGTGGGAAGGAATAGATTGGTGTTAGGACTTGCCTCCATTCGCTGATGATTATATCCTTCTCTGATTCCTGTGTCTCCTGTTCCTGTCTTCCGGATTCCATCGGGTTCTCTCACGTCTTCTATCCTACGTGGTCTAGCGTCGATAAGCAAGAAACACAAACAAGGAAAAAATAACAAGCAAGGCATGTAAAACAAGCATATGCAATCAACGATCCAAGATGGGTTGGTCCTATTGGGTGATGGGTTGTTATCTAAGTTATCACTATTACGTCAATCTGAAGTAAGGATTGGATAGTGGTATTCCATCCATAAGGTAGGGCTTTTACGGGTTAGGTTAAGGTGGTGGATTGGTTTGATGGAAAACTAGACCACATTATTAGGGTTCACTATTACGTGAATCTGAAAGAGAAAGTTTGACCAAATCATCATAAATGACCCATCTGACTTCTACAGGTCCACCGGGTTAGTGACACATACGCACATGCATATGTATGTGCCTAGGGTTAATTAGGTGGGCTGGGTTATGGCTAGGGTTAGCGGCATATACGCTCATGCATATGTATATGCCCACGATTAAGTATAATTGAGTAACTAGGTGGCTAGGGTTAGCCATACATAGACGTATACCCGGGTATCGGGCATATCCATGTACATATAGATGTTCTACTATTTTAGGTGATTGGGTACAGATATATTTGAGTATGTGTCGTGGTGCATGCACATACGTGAATATACGGGATTAACTACTCTACTACGGCGGAGGGCTACTATTATAGTTAATATTAAAATATAATTATAGCAAGGAAAGCAATCAAACTAGAATTTAAATGGACATAAAAAATTAGGAAAAATGGTATTATTATGTAGGGTTTTATTTTGGAAGATTTATGGTGAAGGAATTACGGAATTCGGGATTAAAATGAATGAGTTAATAATTATCTAAGTTTATTGGCTAAATGCGAATGAATATAAACATGGGAATTATTTCTAAAATTTTAACTAATGGAAAAATGAGTGGCAAATATCTAGGTATGATCTAGAGTGACTCTAGTTTATTTTAAATTTTTTCTGGGGATTTTTCTATAACTAATATGCTTAACTTTTAATATCCTGTGTACAATCCCCGTGTGCACCTAGCACTTTTCTCTGGCGTCTAGACTGACGCGTGGGTCCCGGCTGGAGGGCGCTGCTTGATGGACTACATTGTGGACCCCCCTCCCTCATTTGGTCTTTGTGGACTGGGTTCACAGAAGGAGAGGCGAGAGGTGGAGTCATTGACAGACGGGTCCCGCAGTCAGACGTGGCGCAGCCTCATTGGCTCAAGCGACGTGGCCGCGCACCCTGATTGGTTGCTGCACCGTGGCTTAGGCCAGGTGCGGGCGTCGGCTCCCTCATTCCCCATTCGGCGGTCAACGAGCGAGAAAAGAACGAGAGCGAGAGATAGAACGGAAGAGAGGGAGAGCGATAGAGAAGGCAAGGCGGAGGGGAAGGAGAGGGCGCAGGGCACCATGCTCCGGCGGCCGTCCAGGGCACCGGCGAAGTGGGCCCCAGCGCGGAATAGAGAGAAGAGGAGCAAGGCAGAGAGGGGAAAGGAAGGGATGCAGAGCGGCGGAGGGGAACGCGCCGGCGGCAGCGAGGCCCGGCTGCGCGGCAAGGCAGGGCAGAGTAGACGGAGGAGCAGAGCACGGCAGAAGGGAGAGAGCGAGGCAGAGGGAGAGAGATGGGCAGAGGCTGACCGGAGGGGGAAGGGGAATGGGCAGAGCACGGCGACGGCGGGCGCTCGGCAGCGGCGTTTGGCTCCGGCGCGGCGGCTTCGACGCGGAGAGGCAGTGCGACGGCGGCAATGCTCGTCGCTCGCGGGAAGCGCGGCGCCCCGGCAGCGAGGCGAAGAAGAGAAGGAGAGGGAGCTCGGGAGAGGAGGAGTGACTGGAGCCCGAGCTCGGGGGCGAGTCTCGTCGTCGGCCATGGCTGGCTTTTTATAGCCGCGCGCGAGCGGTTGGCCAGGAGAAATATCTCCGGCGACAGCCGGTGGTGAGCTGGCGTCCTCATCCACGCGCGGGTATCGACGGCGGAGAAAGGCGGTCGCGCACAGGAGGTCAGCGGCGGCGGCGACATGGGCACAGTGTGGCCGCTGACTTCCTGGAGAACAAGGAGCTGACGGGCGGGTCCCACTCGTCGGTGAGAGAAAGGAAAGGGGGAGAGGAAGAAGGGCTGCTGTTGCGCTGCTGGGCCGCGTGGCCATGCTGGCCCATGACGGGGAGAGGGGAAATGCGCGCGCGGGCCGGGCCAGTGGCCTCCTACCGAAGACCTGGCAGGCCCATGCGGAAAAGAGGAAAGGGGGAGGAGGGAGAAGGGGAGGTGGGCCGCGACTGCGGGCTGGACCAAGGGAGAGGGAGAAGAGGATTGAGCCCGGTAATCCTTTTCCATTTAAGAAATCTTTTCCATTTTCTCAGAAAATTAAGAAGATGTAACCATGTATATACTACGGTGTTTTTCTAGATACTAAGAAGATTAAAAAATGTGATACTAGTATTCATGATGTATTTCCTAACATTTCATATAGTCTAGTATAAGTAGTATATCTATTCTATTATAACTACTAGGTAGCGTGTCGTGCGTTGTTACGGGATAGCTAACATTTTATACTAAAAATATACGGATCGTACGATAAGATAATAATACTGTAAAAATAAAATACCAACGTTAAAGTGATATTTAATCCAAAAAGCAAAGTTTATAAATTTAACATAGTCATGGAGTGCGCGACGTCGTAGGCTCATAAACTCTACTTCATAGACCTTTTCGTGATACGGCTAAGATGTTTTATATTGACATGAAGAAATCTCCGATATCCATTTCTTTCGTGCTCACAAACTAATGACTCTGGTGCAACAAAGGGAAATACAAAAGAGCTATCCTCCTGAATGCGCGGAATCAACGCCACTATGATCGTGCCATCCCACGACCACTGGTATGGTGTTGTTTAGCACTATTGTTCATTATTATCGCTAACTTGCTTCGTTGATTTTATTCAAGTAATTTATGTTTGTAATTATGTAGGTGCTAATTTGGTTGATCCTACATTGACACATGAGAAAAGTGAGGAAAGTCGACAAAACTCATGGTTTTGAGAACATACACGTGTAATAGTTATGAATGGTTACAAAACGAAATATTATGAATAAAACATTCAAAGTGTCATTTTTATAACAATAATATAACACATGTTCAATTTTTATTATGCCATTACACAAGTGTATATATAACATCTTCGTGTAGAGTCTGATAAACCATTTAAAATTACCTAGCAACAGCAACAAATATGGTATTAATGAGATATTATTTGTACAATATAAATTGAATGGAAAAAATGCATTGTATGCGTTAGTAATGTTCTGTTACCTCGTCTATGGCGTTAGAACCTCCTTAAATACAATATTCTTCGTGAAAGTTCCATTCGCTATTGGGGTTTTCTTATCCTTATCTTTTTTATTTAATGCATTCTTATTTTTCTCCCTCGTCATTCTTTTTAGAATTTTTCTTCTCTATCTTTTTGGCCTCCTCTTGTGCCTCCGCATCTAGCGGAAGGGCAAGGATCTTAATATTGGTTCTTGACGTGGCTCTAGACATCGTAACGTACAACTGATCGTGAGAGAACATGGGTGTGGGTAGGTACACACCCACGTTCGGGATAGTTTAGCCCTGTGACTTGTTGACCGTCATGGCAAAGCTCAGCCTGATAGGAAACTACTTTCTCTTAAACTGGAACGGGAACATCTCATCATCAGACGGGCATAGCGGTATTCGAGGAAGGAATACCCGCTTCCCAGCATGTTGCCCCACCACGATTTCCGCGTCGATTGTATTTCTTCAGAACCCCCGCACCACCAGCCTTGTACCGTTGCATAGCCCATTGGCAGGGTCAATATTCCTAAGCAATATGACAGGACACCCGAGCTTGAGCTTCAAAACGTGTGGAGGCATCCGTTGTGGGTCAAACTGTTAAGGAACTCCGATGGATAGTAGTTATGTGGATTATCTACCGCGGAGTCAAAACTATGATACATCATCTCGCCGCCCTAGAACATATCAATCATTTTCATATTGATCATGTCCACCCAATCGTTACGTGTAAATAAAATCGCTCTGGTGGTGATGTAGTCTTTGTCCGTCATGTTTGATTTAGATCTGGAAAGATGACGTCGATCAGTGTATGAAGATCTTTCTCAGCATCGCCAGAGTACGGGACACATATCTCATCCGTAATACGTACATTGCCATCTCCGTTAACCTCTTCCGTTCCACCACCAATGCACAACAGATAATCTGCAAAGCACGGGTCATTCTGAGCCCTCATGTTGCGGACGAGCTTTAGGTGGCGCATGGATTCCCAAAGATACGACCTTCATAGAGAAGCACCGACTATTTGAGCTCTAGATCCTTTCCGCACAACAGGGAGGACCTGTCTAAAATTCCCACCAAGGACAACAGTCTTTCCACCAAACGGTAGGTTTGACTGGCCCATTATATCCCGTAGGCTGTTGTCTAGTGCTTCCACATTTTGCCTCTTTGTCATAGATGCCTCGTCCCAAAATATGAGGGTTGTTTGCTGCAGCAACTTAGCAGTACCACTCTGTTTCGTGAAGCTACAACAACCACCCTCTTGAAGAGTTAGGGGTATCTTGAAACGCGAGTGAGCCGTCCTCCCGCCTGGCATTATGGCTGCTGCGACTCCAGATGTAGCTGTAGCCACGACAAGCTTGTCCTGGTTACGTAGTTTTGCGAGAAGCGCCCTATACAAAAAATGTCTTTCCTGTCCCGCTAGGTCCATCCGCAAAGAACAACCCGCCTGGTTTGCTGCAGACAGCGGCCATTATCTCAACATAGGCAGACCTTTGCTCGGTGTTGAGTGAGTCGCACAATAGCACATCTTCAGGATTCTTCTTGACGCTAGCTTCCTCAAATATCTCACGAGGAATATGGCTGGCATCGTCATATTAGTGATCAATATCTGGAAGAGGAAATAACCTTATGTCCTTCCCCATAGACTGCAACATGTTTCTAATGTCTATCAAAACCATTTGTTGCACCAGATCCGGGGATGGATGATTGCGGCTGTAGTCCTCTGACATTGCATCGTAGTGTTTTTTTCACAACCCCATCACATCATGCGGCTCGCAGAATACCAATATTGTTGCAAATAGCCTCCGCAGAGAGGAAGGCATCTGGAATAAAGTAGCTTTAGTTAGACATTCATCTAGTGCATTGTCTTCTTCGATTAGACCCCTCCTTTCTACAGCTTCATAGAACGAAGGTAGTAGCACGCCATCAATCGTCCTCAGATGTTCGTATGAGGTAGCACCAGCAACATTGTTCAAGAGAACACGAAGAAAGTAACATTCTCCCTCAGCAGGATGAGCCGAGATGACTCTTCCAACTTGAAAAAACGGACTTTTTACTTTTCTGCCAGAATTTACCATCAGACTGCCAGTTAAAATGCTCCGGGAAGTCCTGATACAAGATTCCACGAGCTTCCTCATGATGCCTGTTTGCATCGAAGTATGCTGTCAGCATTGACTCTTCTACACCTGGCCTATTAACGATCCGTTCGACCTTATCCCATTTATGAAATGCCACCATGTGCATGTCGGGTAGATGAAGCTACAACTGCTATACTGGTGGATGGTTCTTGCTCAAGTCAAAGTCATATATCCTCCATAGTGCTTCTAGAGGTGTCAACCACCGAGCATCTCTATACTGCTTGATCTCATTAATGTTCCCTTTCTCGTCTGCTTTGTCGGTCTCCCTCATCACCATCGATGCTCTATCATGTCCCTTGTATATGTATTTGAATAGATACTTTACTGATTTAATGCTCCCATAGGCCTCAACATTGATATGACAGTTGAAGGTAGGTAGCAGGCAAGGGTTGTAAGGCACGACCCATTGATTGTCCAAGTAATGGCCTCGAACTTTTAGCGTGCGACCATCATTGCGTCGCCGATAGATGGGATACGAATCCTTTCCCTGTGACGTTGCCTCACAGAATGGGCGCGGGTAACGGTTCTTGCATGACCCACGGCCCACTGTGCACGGACAATATGGATTTAGCGTCCTGCAGGGACCATGCATCATATGCTTCGTCACCATCTTGTAGAGCTCAGGGTACTTCTTCTTGTTTGGTAGCTCTGCACTGATAATCATGTCATATTGCTCAGGACATGTGAGTTTGTACTTCCGTTCCATTATCAGCAAGAAGTGTGCATGCGGCAAGCCCCTCTTCTAGAACTCCACTACATATACGTAGGCCTTCACCTTCCCAAGTATGTCTTTCTCCATCAACATTTTCCTCATCGCCTCTAACTTTGCTCTGAAGACCCGTGTGACGAGATCTGGGCGGTCCTGTGGTGTCTGGCCTGGATAAAGTTCATTCTTGATCTCATCCTAGTTAGGGTTGCACGTCATTGTGAGGAAGATATCAGGTTTATCATACTTTTGCACCAGAGCCATTGCATCCATGTATCGGCGCCTCATATCACGGGGTCCTCTAATGAATGACGAAGACAGGACAGTACGCCTTTCGACATTCTGAGCAGATCCTTCACCCGAATGCATGCTGTCCACCAGGCCTTGGTATAGGTCAGCCCTCAAAGTATCCTAATTGTTCCTCATGTAGTCTAAACGCGAGCTCTCAATCTTGATGTAGGTGTCGACGGCAAACTGCTGGAAAAGACGCCGGCCATAGAGTATTGGATTAAATATCCCTGGCCGCATCTGGAACTTGTAGCAGTAGTAGTCGTGCACGGAGACACATGTATTCGAAACAGGTTCTACAGGGAGACATTGTTTGAATTAGTATCATGCGTAAACAGAAAAGAGTTTATATTGCATTATTGAAAAGAGTTCAAGTTACCTCCATCATCATCGTCACCATTCTCAGCACGCTTTTTGCGGATTGCTCGAGCTCGCTCAACTTGAGCCA